CTAGCCATATCGGCCTAGAAAACTTTTCATTTTCCGTCGGTCTTAGTACACGATGTAACTACAGAAGAGTCTAGTTTTAAATAGGAAAAATATAGAAACTCTTTGGTCGTTTTTGAGCGAGATGCTAACGGTCTAATCAGATTCAATGATCTATGCTAAGCTAAGCTAAAAGTGCTACCGCCAGACCCGGAGATCGACTGAATGGATTCGAAAACAGTAAAACTCGACTGTTTAACTCTAGGGGAGCTGGGAAATTAGCCTATTGTCAAAAATAGTGGAGTGTTCCTTTAAACGGTGCCTTCAGCCTGACCGGCATGCACCTCGCGGTGATCGGTTCTGCGCAGATATTGCTCGTCTCAAACAAGCCTAAGAATGTTACAACAGCACGTTTGGACTTCCTGTTTCAGAGCTATGTTACACCTACTTCACTGTTCGAAAGCCTCCCTGTGCGGCATGAACACTTCGCTTCAGAGCAGAAGAGCTCTATATTACTGAGACACTGAATCAGACGGTCGATGTGCGTGATCGTAACATAACGGCAGCACATGTCATGAATATTCATGATCAAACCAGTCATCATTTGTGTGACCTAGAAGGATCATAATTGACTTGTAAGAGGTTACACAGATCTGTTCCTATTCAAGCTACAGCTTTCTGCGTGGTGGTGACAAACTTGAGTCGTTGCTTTTCTGTTCAACATTCAATGCATATTGTCACATAGAAGTAATATAAGTGAGTTTCTCCATATGGAATGAAAAGAGCATGTATATATGTATGATACAATGCTAAATTAGCCAGTATTTAATCATATTCATGAGCGGGGCATGCTGGGAACTTTTCATTGGTCGCTCCTTTAACCCTTTACTGCGCAAAGAACCCACAAGCCTGTGAAAGCGAGCCACAGCAAATGTCATACCTTTTAATTGTATAGCACTATACAATACAGATCGTGTCAAAGTAGCTTTACAGTGTTAAACAGGAACATGTTTCAATAATGCAAACAAAATTCATTTCTGCTGTAAAGCAGCTCTAAAAAGAGGACAATAGTGAACAGAAAGTATTGTGTGATACTGAAAGTATACCATAGACTGAAAGCTTCTGCTGATATTATGGACCAGTTTAAACAAAATTCAGTCAAAGGGTGATATATGTAATTTAATTACATGCAAGAATCCAATATGAGTATGCTCATTTAAAGTTATTATAAAACCTGTCATTGTTTGGAAAATAATCTATTTTTATTGATAGGAAATTCCTTGAATTAACGGTAATCTACTGGCAGCTCTGGTTGCCAGCATGTTACTGTTTATTCTACAGTTTGCTGCTATAAATTAATTACAGTTTATTACTGTTAAATTACATTTCATGCTGTTTTTAAAAAAAAAAAAAGGCATCTATAACCCTTTAAACCCCACAGTAAAATCCTTGGTTTTAAATGAACATATAATGTCCATACAGAGTGAAGTAGTGCTGAAGTTAATGAGACAATTCTGTGATTAATTAAGTGATGATTGAGCATTAGTGACGAACAGCTGCTGTTAACATGCAGAATCACTGAATGAAAGAGAAACACAAGAACTACAACTGACTTCCAGCCACAGCCTTGGATGAAATCAGCTGGAATATAAGAAGTCATTAAATCTCTGATTAAACAACTCCTAAAACAGCATTACCAGCTTCACTTACCAGGCTAAGTAAGACAGATAAGTAAGACCAATAAGACAGAAGATCTTATTGAGAGTTACAGAGGTTTAGATGTTTTTGTGTATTTTTTTCACTACCATGATGGAGATCAGTGTTTACTTTAGTTGTGCTCTTGAATCTTGACTTATTAACATGAGCTTTTCTTTGATTATTATAATAATGTATCTTTGAAACAAGTATGTTAAGACTAAAATCTTATATTGTTGATTACAGATTGTTAATAACAAGAATTCTCTTACTCCTGATTCACTGATTTTATCCAGTGTCTTTTCTCTTAAAGGGGTAATATGATGCGATTTCAATTTTTCCTTTCTCTTTGAAGTGTTACAAGCTTTTGGTCCACAAAGATCTGTAAAATTGCAAAGACTAAAGTCTCAAATCCAAAGAGATATTCTTTATAAAAGGTAAGAGTCAGCCACAATCCATAATTATGTCCCCACTGGATGCAACGAATGCCTTGTTTATAAGAGATATATCCAGCTGCAGACCCGCAGCACCAGCAGTCACAGAACCGCAGCCGCAGAACCGGAAGTGAGGGGAGGAGTTATTGACAACGAGAGAGCCCGGTGAGTATTCTGTAATGTTTTTGTTATCATATGTTTGATAATTATCGTATATATTACGTTAAGCATTTA